CAGCCGCCCCCCCCCCCATCCACCCCCCCCCCCAAATTGTTCAAAATGTTTTAAATGGAGATATAAAGAAAATTGTATTCAAATTTCAAGTGTGAAAGTGCAATTTCTGGCCATACAGAGATGTCATAATCACAATTTTTTTTTTACATGAGGTGATGGTATGGATCCTGCACCTGTGAAAATACCTCCCCGGGCCCTCTCTATTTTGAATTCCTGGATCTGCCACTGGTAGTAATAGTATAATAATTATTGTTGATTGAATCATATATAATATCATAAGTTGTATTTTGTTATTATAATGATTATTATTGTTTCCTTACAGATGTCAGGAGTTAACATCCCAGATTGCATCTGTAGTAGAGGAGCGAAACAACTTGTCAGTGCAACTTCACAACACCCACCGGGCCTTGCGTGACACAGATAATCATAACAAAGAACTTGAACTCTGTTTGAATGCAGTGGAGCAACAGATAGCAAATAGTCAGGTATCAAATATTATGGTATGCCCATGTTATGATGAAGGACATACAAAAACCAGTGCAAAGATGTTTTGTAATATATGGAGTGGAGTTTGGTGGCGAATTTCTAATGACAATTTTTTGTTAATCATTGACATATCAAAATATATAAAACAAGTTGATTTAAAACCTTCTTAAACTTGTGGGGTGGGATAATAATCATTGATGTCAAATTAGAGAATAAATATTGAATGATATTGCAATATTCTTTGTTTATAGATTGTGGAAGAAACAGCAATTATCCCTCACCAAGCTAAGGTTCAAATGTCAGCTGCACCTCCACAACACGAGGACCAATCAAAAGATCTTTTACAAAGTGATTTAATTGCAGTTAGCAAAAGGTATAGTGACTAAAACAACCTAAACCAGTTGCTTGTCAAAAACCATCTGTAGAATATGTCAATACTGGTATATATTGGAGGGCTAAAAATCATAGGCATCTATAGATTTATGCTATGTTTAATTTGAGTGAGCCTGTACTTATCATTTCTCTGATTGCTAAAATGTAAACATCTGTTGCCATCTAGTGGTTTGTTGTTTTGCAATGCACATTGGTGGTTTGAATACATTTTCTTAAATCTGCAAATGAACATCCATTGTCAAGTTAATGTTATTCTTATAGTTTTACCCTTCATATTTAACAGACTAGAAGAATCTGAACAAGCTAGATCAGCGATGGCTAAGGAATTCACCAAACTTGAGGTATTATAACAACTTTGATAGCAAATATAATCTCCTAAGCTGAGCATTTGGTTGATTGGTATGGTTCCTGGCTCTTGCACGCTAGGGCCCGGGTCCGAGACACGGCTCTGCAGCCAAATATTTAATTCGGGTCTTTTAAAAAATGCTCAGCTCCTTGAATAACTCAGCTCCTTGAATAACCCCTTCAGGAGAGTTAGGCGAGTTATGGACCATGTGTATCCATTGTATGATGTAGTTTAAGTCTGGTGGCGCTGCCCATTTTTCCACAGTGCATATTACATTTGAGGACAAATAAAGATGTATTATTATTATATAATACAGTTAGATTAATCTGATTTTGTTTACTATATATGTGTAGATGAAATTTCAAACTTACAGTACCAGATGAATGAAAATGTGATTCACAAAATATAAATAATCTATTAATTTATTATAATGTATTTTTGAAGGCTCTTTTAAGCCACTAAAAAACTACAATAAAAGTAATTGATGAACAGGTGTGAACCCAAAGGGGAGGAACTAGGTGCACACCCCCCAATTTTGAGATGGCATTGCCATCGCTACCGTGTAATCCCGTTCTATAATTGCTGAGTGCAATTGCTGATAAATGTAAATGATTTATTTGAATTTTTTGTTAAATTATAATAATCATTTGGTTTAGCTTGATCTAATGAGTGTGAATCCATTTGTCTAATATTTGCGTTTCTTTACTAGTCGCATGCCAGTCCTCCATTAAGCATGACAGATGATGGGGAGGTGGGTGGAAGTCACATTTATTTAAGCATTCTCAGAACTATTATAACATTTTCTGCATTGCTGGGTAATATCACTTGAATATTCCTCAATCTGTGGACTTTGTGTTTATTTTGAATTTATTAAATATAAATAATGAAATAACGTCTATCGAAGCGTTGTGACGAGAATGACAGTGAAATTTATTTTCCTGTGGTGCACGCTTGCAAGGTTATGCTGCTCTTTTCAAACATTAACCTCATATCAAAGATCTTATAATAACAAGATAGCATTCTCCACAGTTTGCGTGTAACAAATGTTTAATTGTAATTAAAAGAGGGTGTCCTAGTTGTTACTATGGCGATTGTTCTAGAATTTGCACTGAGATCATAGATGGCAAAGTTCAAAAGTAATTGTAATTGCAGGAGGGAATTCTACACTGCATTATTACAGAATTTGCATGCAGAAATTGCGGAGAATGCTATCTTGTTATAAGATCTTGGCCTCATATCCAATTATCTATTTCATATTTTCAATATACATATATATATATATATATATGTATATGTATATGTATATATATATATGTATGT